CTAGATGTATATAGTATATTCTTATTTTTTTAGATATATTGTTATTTCAGATCAGCTGCCTCCTGCACGCCCCCTACTGGGGATCGAGCCCGCAACCCAGGCATGTGCTCTGACCAGGAATCGAACCCATGATCTCCTGACTCATAGGTCGACGCTCAACCATTGAGTCACACCCGCCGGGCACACCACGCATTCTTGCAAGACTCCCACTTAGGGGGGCACTTCATCCTCGTGAGGACCCTGTGGCGGCTCCACGGCACGGTTCACGTCCCGGTCGGGGCACATGCAGGGTGCGGGTTCCATCTCTGGTTGGGGTGCGCGTGGGAGGCAACTGCTCAGTATTTCTCTCTCTCCCTTTCCTTTCCCCTCTCTCTAAAATCAATAAAAACACATTTAAAACAAGAAGAAGCACCTGCCTCCTGCTGATTCGGATCTCTGCCCTCAGGAGCCCCAGGGAAGGCGGGAGCCCCTGAGGTTCAAGGCCGTGGGCCCTGTGCTGCGCCCTGAGCCTGCCCAGGACTAGCCACTCGGCTCTGGGTGCCTGGGACCCTCAGGAGCCTCCGTGCCTTCCCCGTAAGGCGGGCTGGGTCTCAGGGCCCCTGGAGGACTGAGCAAGAGGGTGCCCTGGAGGAATTAGGAAGGTGCCAGTTCGGTAATGAACGAACCCGAATCCCGTCCCCTCCCAGGGACAGAGGTTTCAAAACGTTTGATCTGAAAAACCAGCTGCACAAACATGGAGACTGCGACCACGCCCGTGACCTGGTCCCCCAGCCTCCGCATGTTTTCCTTCACAGCTGCAGGGCCAACGGGGAAGCTGGAGGCTGGAGGGAGGGCACGCCCTGGCCTCGCCGTGGGAGGAAGTGGCTGCGGGCGGCCTGCCTCCAGGAGGCATTAAAGACAGGCCAGCCCTGGCCTGGGAGGCAGCCCAGTGGTTAGAGGGTCATCCCCGTACACCAAGGGTGCAGGTTCGATCCCCGGTCAGGACGCATACAAGAAGCACCTAACGAATGCATAAAGAAGTGGAACAACAAATCGATGTCTCTCTCTCTCTCTCTCTCTTTCTCTCACTCTCTCAAATCAGCAAATAAAAATTCAAAATAAAATAACGACAGACGACAGGCACACCCAGCTGGCTTTGTCCTGTGGCAAATGTACTGCTCTTTTGTTAAGACTCTTTATAAGCCAGAGTTATAACCACCTCTTTGAGTTACTCGCCACTGGGCGCTCCCATGTGGATGTGCAACGAACGTGTTCACCAACTTCTGTTTGTTTTCCTCACGCGAATCGGCCTTTCGTCAGCCCACGTGACGGCCCCAGACAATGGGCGAACTACCACTCTAAGCCTGACAGCAGCCTGGAAAAGTGGTATCTACTCTCCCTCTCCCTTCCCCTCTGAAATCAATTAAAAACACACACACAAAAACCCTGCCCCCCGTGTGTATGCTGAAACCCCCCGACACCACCTGCAGCAGCAGCAGCAGGGGCCCTGGGCCGGGCTGGGGCGCACGCACCGGCATGGCGTTGTTGAGGCTGTTGTTGTAGACGCAGGCGCGCAGCGAGTAGTCCAGCAGGCAGCTCTCGAACAGCTGCAGCGCCTCCGTCACCTTCTCGTGGAAGTCCTCCGAGGACTTGTTGGAGCTGGCGAAGTACAGGTAGTCCGAGTACAGCCTGGAAGCAAAGTCGACAGCGTGTCACCCCCCAGAGCAGCGAGGTCGCCATCTGGGTGACCGTGAAACCAGCGTGCAATGACCGTGTGGAGTTTCACTCCTTAAAGCTTGACCGCTTCTCTTTGTTCCTGCAGGTGAGCCATTTTCCTACTCCCCTTTTTAAAAAAATACATTTTTATTGATGTCAGAGAGAAAGGGAGAGGGAGAGAGATAGAAATGTCAATGATGAGAGAGAATCATGGATCGGCTGCCTCTTGCAACCCCCCACTGGGGATCGAGCCCGCAACCACCCAGGAAGGTGCCCTGAGCAGGAATTGAAACCTGACCCCCTGGTTCATAGGTCGATGCTCAACCACTGAGCTATGCCGGCTGCGCCCCACTTCCCTTTGTGTGTACCCTCCCCCCACCCCCCAGGGCTGTCGCGTTCCCATCAGCACCTCCCTCCACCCGAGGAGGGAAAAAGGGAAGTGTGGGCTCCTGCTTTCAGGGAGCATGTCAGGGTCCCCTCGGGTTTCCACTCCCTCGCCGCCCCCCCCCCCCCCCGCCCGCCGTGAGAGGTAGGTGGACGCTGCATAGGAATGTCTGCAGTAAGCGATGCCAGGACTTCCCCACAACTACCTCCAGGGAAACAGAGTCAGGTGACCACCTTGCAGGAGGGAAAGCCACTTGCTGGGTTAAAACTACTCAGAGAACATTGAGGACAGCAAACGTATCGAGAACAAGTACCCAGCCCAGCCAGTGCTGAGTGTCAACCCATGAACCAGGAGATCAGGGTTCGATTCCCAGTCAGGGCCCAGGCCCAGGTTGTGGGCTTGATCCCCAGTGTGGGGCGTGCAGGAGGCAGCTGGTCCATGATTCTCTCTCATCATTGAGGTTTCTCTCTCTCCCTCTCCCTTCCTCTCTGACATCAATTTTTTTAAAAAAAACAAAACACATTAAAAAGAAGTATCCAAATGGACCTCACAGACTGGAACAGGCACACCCATAGAAAGACCCGACGTAAGGAGACCCCTGAACGTCAACGTTTTAGTCTTTACAATCAACTCTACAGGATGACGCAGGGAAAACACAGGAGACGTTTAGTCGACATAAACTCGTAACAAATCGTCACAGAGCTGCAGGCACACGATGCAACCTGGGGATGCATTAATAGAGGTAAGGCCCTGAGAATGCGGGAGGGTGTCCCTCGGCTCCACTCCGGCAGGCCAGGACCCCTAGGGACCCTTGGCTGAGCTGCTGCAGCCAGAGAAGGGAGCCGGCAGGAAGGCACCTGCTTCCGAGGCGGGAAAGCTGTCCCAGGCGGAGCGATCTGCCCGGGTTCCTAAAGGACTGACCAGTCCATGGAAGGTTCAGGAAGAAAGACAGGCTTGATTCAAAGGCAGATGTCTTGGCTGGGCAGTCCCGCATGACGTCAGCGGCCGGGCAGCAGGAGCCAGAGGCTGCAGGGGACGAGGCCCCGGGCAGAGCGAGGGCCCGGGACCCGACACCCAGGCAGCCCCGAGTGTGGGGTGCCAGCCCCCTCCTGCAGCGCCGCCTCATTCTCTTGCTCTTAAACCATCCCGAACAGATGGGGTTACATTTGGCAGGGCCTGTTTCCAACAGCGATTCCAAATATAAGCCCAACACATTCCGGCCTTCTGTGCTGTGGTTATTTTAGAGGCGGCCGGGGCGGCTGAGGGGTGTGACAGCGGCCTGCGCCTGGGCAGCGCTCCTCAGCTCCGTTCCTGAGCCCGGCGGGTCCTGGGACCCCGCACTCCTGGGGGGCAGTGGGGTTGCATGTGTGCATTGGGGGGGGCTCCCTGACCTGCTGCTTCTGGAAGGACCGAGTCTCTCCCCATGGGGACAGAGCAACAGCCACAGTGAGCTGGAAGGCCCTCCAGGGAGGAGCTAGACGGGCACCCACGGCCACACTGCCTCACCTGAGGACCTGAGGGTGTGGCTCTCACTACCTGCCCAGAGGCAGGGGCATGGACCACGTGACAGCAGCCACGGGTCTCCCCTCCAGGCCAGGCCCTCGGGGGTTGTCCCCATGCACCCGATCGCCCTCCTGCACACACGCGGCCTCGGGTCTACCTCCGGGGACCCAGCCAGCGGCAGCCGTGAAAACCTTGGCTTCCCAGCTGGGCCAACGGGGGATCAAATCCCTGCCTGGCCCCTCACTGACAGGCGACTGTGGGTCGGTGCCTTCACCCCACGGAGCCCGCTCGCCGCCCCTGTGAGCACACCACCTCTCCCCTCTCCCCTGGCTGAGACCTCACAGGAGGCGATGCCTGGAAAGGGCGTGGCTGGCAGCCAGGCCGGAGCAGGTGCCCTGTCAACACGGCCTCGTCACTGAGGGTTGTCCCCACCCAACCAGACGGGCTCCAGGAGGGCGGGGGGCGGACCTCACTGTCCAATGTTCGAACTGTCTGCAGCCGGCGTGGTGCGCCCAGCGTCTCAGGCCGCTGCTGTTGGTATGTGCGACCACAGGGACCAATCGCCATCGCCCCTCATTATGTGGCTCCCGTCATGGAGTGCTCACGCCCTCGCAGTAGGACATCTCCCCCCGATTCACCGAGAGGTGAAGCAACTCGCCTGAGGCCCCAGAGCCGGTGAGCGGCAGAGCTGGGGGTCAGGTGCAGCCACCTGTCCCCCAAAGGCCGTGTCGCTGTTGTGGGATCCTGGTCCTCTGCTCGCCACCCCCACCCGCCACCCGCTCCGCACGGAGCGAGAGCCTGGGCCCGGGACTCCCGCCCACCCTCGCTGTCCGGGCTGCAGGGAGTGAAGGCCCGTCGGTCAGGCTCATTCCTCTCATTCCGAGTCGTCCTCGTAAACCGATGATTGTTTAACCAGGCCCAGTGCTCAGCGCCGGTTACATAAGCCGTTGGAGGAGGAACGCCGCGGCCCAGGTCCAGGGGCCCAAAGCGTTGGGGTCAAAACCAAGTCCCGCGCTCCTTCCCCACCGACCTGTCGCCATGAAACGTGCCGTGCGAACCCCCGGGGGCGGGAGGGCGTGTCTGTGAGCAGCGAAGTCTAAGCGCAGAATTAGAACGAGAACCCAGAGCCGGCAACCTCCTCGCAGACGGGGCAGGACACCCCTCCCCGTGCCCACCAGTGACCTAGGTCAGAGGCCAGCACCGCCAGCCGCGGGTCACGGGTCTCGGCTCCGGCGGGAACTGCCTCTGAATTAGAGGCAAACCCACCAGCGGCGGAGGGCGAGAGGCGGCGGCGAGGGGCGTCAGAAAGAACAGGCCTTTCCCCGGCGGCATCGGATGAACTGCTGGTCGGCGGCGGCTGCTCTTTCACTCGCCGGCCGTTAAGCCCAGGGACGCACCGCCTGCGTCTTCAGTCCTGATTTCTCACACAAAGACGGACGAGAACTTTGGCCGAAGAGCCACCCCGACCTGTGGACCTAATTTACTGCTTTCTCTGGAAACTTCAAAGGTTCTGATTTGGTTTCACTCTCAGTTTCAACATTTCCAAACTCTCTACCTTCAACCAATTATAGAAATAAGGACCACATGTAAATCTAAGTCTAGAAATAAATGCCCCCCCCCCCCTCCTTATCGCCAAGCCAATTTGTCAGAGGAAATGAACGATTTGGCCCCACCCCCTGGCGGCCAGCACCGGGCACCTCCCTGCAGAAGCGCAAGGTCACGGAAGGACCGGCCTGGCTCGTGGCCGGGACCCAAGGAGGCGATGGACCCAAGGAGGCGATGTCCTTCCCGAGTGACCTGCACCCCGGCCTGATCATCCCCTCTGGCTGGTGGGAGGGGCCAGCCCTTCGGAAAGGCCAGGAGGTGCGGCTTCTAAGAAGACGTTCCCACTGTGACATCGCGTGTAAATGTTTAAAAAGCAATGAAACAGCTGCTGCCGTCATCACCCACACGGAGCACGCACTCCCCGTGGGCGGGAGGCCTGCCGGTCCCACCGGCCTCCATGTCTGCAGCCTGC